GTGCACCCCCCACTCAAACTTTCGATTTGAACCCCCCTCACCCTTTCAATTTATTTTTCCAAACCATTTTGGCACTCAACATATGTCCCCCCCCCCCCCGCCCCCCCCCCTTCACCCGCCTCCCCTCCCCCCCCCCCCCGCCTCCCTCCCTCCCGCCCCCCCCAGAGTTTCTTCCAGGCATCTCTTCGGGGGGGCTTTATTTGTCACCCGCCCCCCGAACGAAATGAAATTTATATAATTTATATAGAAAATATATACTTTTAACAGTGTCCGCCCCCTCCCCCCCCCCCCCCCGAAGAAAGTTTACCGCCCCCCCGAAGATTTCAAGTGCCCCCCCCCCCCGGAGAAAAAAGTCTGGAAGAAACACTGCCCCCCCCCCCTCCTCCTCGCTACGCTACTGCAGTGTCACTTATCGTCACATAAAACAGACCCCACATTCAAAAATATGTTCTTATCTTTTAAAAACACCGAAAACACCGATTTCGGACTATCCCTTCATTTACTGACGTCACATGTGACCTACTCAACTCTACTTCACCTGCCCAGTGTCCCGCCAAGTCTCAGACAACATGTTTTTATCTTTTAAAAAACGATTCCAGCCGAGCATGTCTCTGACCACACTATCCTTTCATATGCTTAGGACAAAGAAACAGATGAACTCTACTTCAAATGTCCTGTATCCTGTCAAGTTCTGATAGTCAACTTTATCATTCACATCTAGAAAAAAAAAAATTGAAAAAAAAATATCATTGACATATTGGTCTAGAACCTGTGCCACCCGCATAAGAGCGGACTACGCTACCAACTTAGCTATTTACTCGTGACGTCACAAGTGAATTTTTATACTATATTTTAAGTCTCCTTTTGCAACTTGATTTACGCGCATAGATCTAGATCTAAGTCTAGTAGTAGTAACTTTCAAATTAAATTTTATCTTAAATTAGCCAAACAAAGATTTATATAAAATAAAGAAGGTCTGAAATTATCTTGATCTAGATAGAATTATCTAGATCTAGATTAGATTCTACGACTCGTTTACTTAACCCCTTAACGCAGACTGTCGCGTTTTCGCGACATACCGATTTAGTGCATAGCATTTGCGCATATGTACATTTATCTTACTGCTGCCGGTCGTTGTGTATTGGGTACATCCAGACGGTTGTATCGGTATCAGCGGTCACGTTGTCAAGTCGAAATTTATGACGTCACACTCTCTTGACTCACGCGCATCGTAATTTTTTTGACTTTGGGAATTCAGCCTACTTACATTGATTATTATTACTAAATAGGTGATCTGTTTTTGCTACAAAAAATACTAATAGCTTTATTAATCATTCTTTTATGTATATAAACAATATAAATCACATATGAGAATTATTTTGGAAGTTATCTGCTAATTACAGTTTGTCGCGTTTTCGCGACATCCGGCAATAAGACATCAAATGGAACTTGGGTGCCAAGCAGGTATAACAAAATACGATGCATCGCCAAGCTGTCATTCATTCAAGTATGATTATAAATAAGTAAGGGATTTACAATATAGTCTTCGCCTATATATAAAAGTGCACTTTAGAACGTTACGGTCCATGTGGTAGGTGAAGTAGAGTTCACCTGTTTCATTGACATTGGCATATAGAGAGAGAGCGATGCTTGAATAATGTGATCATGTTGCTGGGTACAATGTAACGAATTTAGCTTTGAAATAGTATTGTAAAATATTAGGAGAACATAAAAAACATAATAGACAACAGGAAGTGAGGTGGTGGACCACTATCCTGGATACCACCAAATAAAGGTCTTCACAGTGACCTTGACAATAATAACACTGAGCATAGACCTACACCTCGTAATAAATACAGTAAGGTTGAGTACTGACACACATACCCTTTGCAGTGCTATTGAATACCCACATTAGTGGCATTATATTGGTATTTAGTACAGACAGCAGTGTTATTGAGTACCCACGTCTTCAGCACTGAGTACCAACATCAGTGACACTGAGCAACCACAGTTTGAGCAATAAGCACTCACAGCAGTGCTACTGAGTACCCACTGCTAAGGCTGAGTACCCACATCAACGTTATCGATTAAAAACAGCTCCAGCGCTGAGTACCCACAGCAGTTACACCAAGAACCGACTGCAGTAACACTGAGTACCCACAGCTTCAAGAGTGAGTACCCACAGCTTCAGAACTCAGTACACATGGCTTCAACACTCAGTACCCACTGTTTCAGCACTGAGTACCCATACCAGTGGCAATATGTAGCTACAGCACTGTCATTGGTAATCAATATCAGAATCAGTCGAGAACAATAGCCGTAGCACGAATCGGAAACATAGGGTACCATCAACAATAGCAGTGAGTACCCACACCAGTGGCACTGAGTACCCACATCAGTGACACTAAGTACCCACAGCAGCTGCATTGAGCATGGAAGAATATACAATGGCTGAACACTGTCATTTAGGACAGTATTTGTTCACGTGCTTTGTGTGTAT